GTCTCCCTAAATTACTTAGGGCCTTGTACAAGTGCAACAACAAAAAGAAATAAAGGATTGGGGATGCAGCTTTGTGCTAGAGCTGCTGGTGTAGCATATATAAGGCCCTGGTTTCAATTCCCAGTATCAAAAAAGGGGGGAAAAAAGGGTGTGGGGGGGAACCATTATCCTTTCTGATTTCTCAGATCTTTTTTCTCAGAGTTCAATGCTCTAATTAGTCTTAAATTTATATACTGTTTAGGTATACACATTTTTTGGCTCAAACTGTTCACATAAAAGGGATGTTATTTGAGGGTCAAGAGAGGTGGCACATGCCTGTAATCCCCGGTAGCCAGGAGTCTGAGGCAGGAAGATGGCAAGTCAATTTAGTGAGACCTGTCTCAAAATTAAAAAGGGCTGGGATGTAGCTCAACGGTAGAGCATCTCTGGCTTCATTCCCCAATACCACCCCCCAAAAAAGGAGGGGTGTGTGATGTGTTTGAATGTAAATTATGATTCAGTAAAAAATAATCTTAAAGCACCAAAGAAACATCTACCAGAATTTTACTTGATAATCATAGAGAAGGAAAACCTTTTAAATTTTGGTAATCAGAATCACCTTTGGAAAAATTTCTAGGCTACAGAGATGTTTTAAATGTGTATAACTCAGTGGTAGCATACACAAGGCCCTGGGTTTGATCTCTAATGCTGTTTTAAAAAACTGTTTAATAGCAAGTCTTATAACCTCTCGCCAAATATCAATTGGTATAGGGCTCATCAGATATTATTTAATCTGTATTTGGGTTTTTCATCTATCCATCTTCTATGCACTTTATAGTTACTTTTAAAAAATCTATTATTTTTGTTTGGAATCAAGAGATGAACTTCAGTCCTTAGTAAAAAGAATACATATGCAATTAAAAAAAAATTGAACTCTGAGAACAAACTGCACATAGAAGAACTTTATCACTCTGGCAGACAATCATCCCAACAAACAAGTTTGTGGTTTTTCTGTTTTTCTGCATGATGTCACTTGATGAACACCATTATACCACTACATATGAATGACTGCTCTGCCAGACACTGTGCAAATAAAATTAGGAAAATAGCCACCATTTACTGTCTGCTCACTATATGCATTTAATTTAGGTAATTCAACTAAATTTAATTAAAAAAAAAAGAGGAGGGAGCAATTAATTTAAATTGTCGGGCTGAGGATGTGGCTCAAGCGGTAGCGCGCTCGACTAGCATGTGTGCGGCCCGGGTTCGATCCTCAGCACCACATACAAAGATGTTGTGTCCGCCGAAAACTAAAAATTAAATATTAAAAAATTCTCTCTCTCAAACTCACTCTCTTAAAAAATAAATAAATAAATAAATTGTGTAGGTGATTTTTCCTGCTCTTCCAATCAAGGATAGCCTGCTTCCTGAGCAGAGAATGATATTCCATCGGTGATTACAAATTTCTGTGGACTTTTGTGGGGGTGAACATTTGAATTTCTGGGTTTGGGGAGGTACTTTTGTTGATGTGGGGGTCTCACCTTCCCTCCATCATAACTATCAACCCTGCCCCATTCGCACATCACTTTCCCTAGAAGGCAGAACTCAGAGGGAGAAGGGAAAAAAAGGAGTCTCAGGGAGTTAAATTAAGTAATTTTTCCAAGACCATCCACTATCAAAAGCTACAAAATGTAAGCAGTCTGATTCCATAACCACTATAGTTCCAACACATCCCCCCAATTCTCAGGTTCTGAAGGACCTTGCTTTGAGACCAACCTAGTCATTGTATAGATTTTTTTTAAAAATGAGGTCCTGAAAGATAAAATTGACTTGCCTGAATTGATGCAGCACTGTCCAGATTCTTCCAACAGTGTCCAGATATGCCACACTTCCTCTTGGACAAATCCCACCCTTTCCCACCCTACCTCGTCCCACCCTACCTCCTCTTCCCAGTCCCACCCAGTTCAACCCTCCACCCTATCTCATTCCTTCCAATTCCCCAAAGAAGTGAAAAGTTTAGGTAAGACCCTACTTCTTTCTGGCTTCCTTAAAAGCCTGCTAAGAAAAAGCTGCCCCCTGGAGATTGTACACCAACCTCACCCCTCAGCCATGCAAAATGGGCCGGCCTGCCAGCAATGCGGGCTAAGTGGGAAGGGCGGGCGGGGGCTGCACGGGGAAGCCC